TAAAAGATCTTTTCAGGGCGTTTTATGTTAAACTGGACATGTGAATGGGAAAAAATAAACAAAAATGTGTTACATCACATTAAAAATACCTGCAACTCAACAATCTAAACCAGAAAAGCAGTATAACTGGGTCTAATGAAGAGATGTAATTTCCCCGACTCGAATTTGATTCTGTTTGATCATTATAGACCCAGACTAGTTTAGTCTGCCCTTAAGCATATGTACAGTTTCTTATTTTTCTACGTTATGACAAGAGTACACTCTCTCATTTTCACTCTATTAATATTTCTCTGAGAGAGTGCAATCGTCAGTTTTAGTATGTGAAAGGTACAGCCTGTAGAAAATAGAGGGGAACGGGGGTCACGCTGCATTTAATTGTATTTAGAAAAACCCTTTTCATCTTGAGTCTCACTTCTTCCTCAAACTCATCCTCCTGCTGCAGATTGAATAAAAGGATTTGTTGATGGTACAAATTTGAGTCCTGTTTTATTTAATGGCTTCTGCAGAGGCTTTGTTATATGCACTCTATGTATGTAATTTTTTTCCATTGAGGCATGAAATGAGTGCACTTTTTTTAAAAGAACCTGCTAGATGTAGCGTGAAGCAATCTTAGAAAGCACTTTTTGATGTTTTATTTTCCCTCAAGTTGAATATTTCTACCTTTGCTTCAACCACATCCCCTTATATACGCCATTTAATGTAACTGTCTTTACAGTTTATTTCCTACAGAAGATATTCCACACTTTGGTGTTATATTAGTTCATTTCTATCATAACAATCTTATTTTAGAATTTGTTTGTGTACATGACTTTCTCAGTAAACAGTCTGCAACAGGGTGTTTCATATCATGTAATGATTTAAACACATTTTCCTTATAATCTACTCCGAGGAAATGTTTTTATGTGACTGATTATAATAAATATCTACCAGCAGGAGGTCCCTCGTTTCTTTAAGCTTTACTTCCAAGCTGCAGGACTTTGCTGAAATCTTTTGAAGTCTTCCTAATATGTCTTGAAGCGTTCTGAAGCTCTTTGAAAGGGTTTCTTTGATTTATTTCCTAATTTTTCAGGTCAAATATCAGACTACTGTCAGAAAAATGTTTTCTAATTTACCTAACTCTGCTACCTTCATACCCATTAAGCATTTTACATTTTGTCAAACACCATTTTTTTCTGTGTGATGGAGCAACACTAATTAGTATTTTTTATAGACAGAAGTAAACCTGTATGATTTAATGAGTGCAGTTCAGTGAAGGACAGCGTTGGTAAACATCGGGGAATTATTTAATCCATTGCCTCCTTTCTCTGCATAAGAAAATGGTGCAAAATCCACTGTGAAGTCCATGGTAACTGGAGGAGCTGCAGGGATTCATAGCTCAGGTGAGATCATTTGGTGGCAGGATAGTTATTGGCTTTGCTCCTCAAAAACACAAAAAAAGAAATAGCTGTGACAACCAAGCCTATTGGTTGAGCTAAATAGACAGTAATACTCAAAGAAAACTATGAAAAGGGTAACCCTAGTTCTCTTAAAACCAAATGAGACGTCTAACTATGGAAAGCACCAATCATGGACGCTCCTAAACAACCACGTCTGTCCTTTACAGACCAATCCATGCGTGGCAGGGTGTGCCCTCCCCTTTGTAAGTGTGTTGGCACATTCACATGTCTTTCTTTAATTTGACCATGCAAACAGGGGATTATTGTGACTTCCCATACTCAGTTTACACATAATTTGCTATTACCCTGTTAAACAAAAGTTATCTTTCGAACCTTGCTTGGTATCTCTGTATTGGAGATATTGCAAAATCCCTGATTTCATGCTTAAAAACCTAATCGCCTCACTGGGAAAGTCCAGGACCCATCATTATATCGTAAAGGATAACTTAAGAGGGTTGATTCGTAAGAGATTTACTAGATTAGATTAGATTATTTCAACTTTATTGTCATTGCACAGGTACAAGGCCACGAAATGCAGTTTAGGTCTAACCAGAAGTGCAACAGCAGCAAGTGCAGGATATACAATGCTGTTACTATAAAAATAAAACTTGAACAGAAGATTTCCGATTTAAAGTGCAGTGGAAGGTTACATTTGCATATTACAGTTAAAGTACAATATTGCAAATGTGTATGTAAACAGGTAAGTAGTACAAGATGCAATTAAACGGCTGTTACTATAGTAACAGTCAGCAGTGCAAGTAAACATTATAGTATTGCAAATAAAGTGAAGAGAGGAAGGAGAGGAGAGTATCTCTTAAATGAGCGGAGTGAATTACAGTTAAAGCTTTAGCTTTGCCACTACCGGTCTTTCCTTGAGATGAACCAGCTGTTGCCATTTAGGTAGCAACAAAAACATGCTGGTGAAGATTCTCAGCCATGCAAATCATAGTCATTCCAGAAAAGTAAAAAAAAAAAAAAAACAATCCACTAGACTTAATTTCCAAGTTTGAAGACGTTTCGCTTCGCATCCAGGAAGCTTTTTCAATTCAAAATAGCAGCAGATCCAAATTTTAAATTGGTCTGCAAAGATGCGAGAAACCTATGATGAAAGCTATTAACTGTATGGTTGTTTTTTTACAGTGAAACTCCCCTTATTTACTTATTTATTTTTCCAAAACCCACATTCAGGACTAACCTTGACAGCTAATTTTAGAACAACTAAAGAAGCTCTTCTGATCTTCTGTTGGAAAAAAGCAAGAATTCTGGGTGCAGGGCGAGGGTACATGCAGCATAAAGGGGGGAGAGCG